ATGCATGGCTGCATTTTCATTACGCAGAGCTGAACTAGTTTAAAGCAGCTCAAGGACACGGCTCGACATGCCTCGCTTGGCATGTTGTCATCATCAACAGCAGCAGCAACAACAAACAATATAAAAAATTAAAAACGAAAAATCTAACACGCTCTGCGAGCTTATCCGGCCTCATAAATTTAATCCAAACTCGACAATAATTAATATGCCGGGCCTAAGGAGTAAATCAATAAAACACGAAGGAATTGTTTCTGTTAGCAGCTTAAATACTTTATAATTAACTATAATTATAATAAATATTTAATAATAGTAAAGCATTTGGCTTTATTTCCAACTGATTATTCCCACAAGTGTCATACGGTATATAAAGCACTTTGTTACGAGCTTGCAGATGTGTTGAAAAGCTGCTCGTAATTGCTCAGCTTGGTAAAGAAGTCTAAAAATTGTTTTTATAGAGCTTTTTTTTATGTGGTACTTTGACAGAATTTGCTTTTATTAGAGAGAAACTTGTTAAGACTCGTAAATGCTGAGTTTGGTCAAGATATCTTGCAAAACAAAAGAGAAAGAATAAAGAAACTTAATTTTTGACCGTTCATTTATATGACGGATATATAATATAATGGTCAGATCTCGACAATCCCGATGCGATAATTTAAGAACTGAAAGACATTCTGTTGATATCCAATAGAAAGGTTACCAAATAAGTTATATAGCAAACACAATATCGAAATCAAATGATATATCTTAAAGAGCTGCCAAATTCAATAGGTTCCCATTAAAAGCTACGAGAGATACAGAGTCATAAGCATATATATTCCTTACTAATAGATGATAAGCCCATTAAATTAGTATATTCCTGAACAACATTATCTGCAAAGTAATTAAAATTTTGCATAATTTGTTTTTATTTTTTTACTTTAGATAATATTTTGATTTTACGATTTTGATTTTATTATTTTGATCACCGTATTGAGAGAACTATTCCTTGGAATTGGCTCGATCTACCTAATGCAATTAATTGAATGCTATATTTAATTTTGATCTTTTCCCCAGTTCGCCCTTAGACTCTTTCAGTTTCCATTAACTATGTTCTATTAAAGAAAAATACTTGTTAAGAACATCAATTTAATTTAATTTATCCATTTATGTTTTTAGATTTATTATATTTTAATTTAAATTTTTCCGCTCATTCAATAGAATCTTACCTTTTGCAAACTAAATAGCTACAGGGTATAAGCATGCGGAGTGCATAATAGTGATTTTGAGGGTCAAAAGGCGCCAATGAAGTCGTTTAACTTGGCTTTTTACCGGGTCCAACACAATTGCGACGAACAAAAAGAAACAACAACAACAATGGCAACAACAACAACAACATAAGCGCCTTAAACGCGTGCGTACAATGGGGCGTATGCTTAATCCCATTTGGGCAGTTTAATTGCAGCACCAGAGAAAGTAAGAGAAAAGAAGAGTGAGAGTGAACGAGAAAGAGAAATAGAAAGAGAGTGGGCATTAGAGCAAGCAGAACTAATGTGCAACTTTGCTTGCCTTTAATCTAGAGGATTATATGCTTATGTGTGTATGTGTGTGTTGGTGTGCGACAGTGTTTCCACATAATTAACTTTTAATGGCAAGGCCGCGACAAAAAGTGTTGCCTACTTCTGAGCGTCGCGGCAAAACATTTTTGCTGTTGCCTAATTCCGAGCGTCGCGCAATACGGTAAAAGCGCACTTTGAAGAGATGTCGCTAAAATAAACAATTAAGAGACTAAATACACATAGATTACTTTTAAAATATAATAATAAAGGTTTTTGTAAACTTGTTTAAACTATTTTCTTGTTTTTTTAAGATCTCTTGCACAAACTAAAGCAATTGCGGGCTTCGAAATTCAAAGAAAAGAGCCTAAGCCATTTGTCCACAAGGGTATTTATTTTGCGGTTAGTCGTTCTTACTTGCCTTATCGAATGCGACAAATAGTAGACCATCCAAAAAGTTTTCCGCTCACTTAGCTGTTCGTTTGTCAGGTTTATACTGTATTTAGCTCGCGCCCATTTTTGGCATTTTTCCTGGACACCCAAAATAGCCAAGGACAAGGTTGAATGCAGTTTGTAGTTAGTTGTTACTTGTTGGTGTCCTTTTGTTGCTGTTGTTGCTGTTGCTATTGTTGTTGTTGCTGGTTAAATGCACAATGCATGTTTTGCCGCACACCTGCAGCAGTTGCACGTGACAAGTGGCAAGTGTCTCAGGCTATTTGCGACTGCTTGACACTTGGACAGTTCTTCGACGGCGCTCATGAATTTAGCCAGCTTTTATGCATTGGAACAGCCCAGAAAAGCAGCTCAAAGCGATAGACAGGAGAGGGGTGGGGAGCGGTCGGGGAGAAAGAGATGGATAGTAAAGTAGGGGAGAGAGAGAGAGAGAGCGAGATTATGAGACTGAAGCAGTATGTGTGGAAATTATAAAGCTGCTAACAAAGGTTTGCCTGCGTTGTGTGTGTGTGTGTGAGTGTGAGTGCGTGCTGGTACATGTGTGTGTTGGTGTATGTCTGTGTGTGTGCCCTGTGTGTAAAAGTGGCTCAAATAACACGTACAAAATATGGCTCGTGGCATATGTGTAATCATTCGTAGAATTCGCGTTGCTTCTGCCTTTGATTGTTTGACACAGGCGCAGGCGGGCTGTGGGGGTACTAAAGAGCCTTGGCTGACAATGTACTGCCGTTCTAATTGAGTTTTAATTCAATGGGAGTGGGGGCCGAAAAACTATTTGGCTTTTATTAATATGCAAGCTGGCAGCCTTTTAACTACAAAAGGCTGTTCTCAATAGCTTTCAAAGCTGCTGTCAACATTTCTACATATCATTCGGTTGCTGAATGACTGTGTAGACAGTCGGGAAGGGGGGGGGGGGGGGGGGGGGGGGAGAGTGGGTGGAGAATGGGGGTTCCTTTGTGGCTCTAGCCAGCACACCCCCTGGCGTATACGCAATCAAAAATTGTATATCATATGACAAATTCAATCAAACAAAGCGCACGACCTAATTGAAGTGTATGCGTTGCCATTGGCAAGACGTGTGGCCCAAGACAAATGTTGATATTGACTTACTGCCTAGACACACACGCACACTCACACACACAAGCAACAGACAGCACGTCAGCAGCAGGACAGCATCAGCAGCTTATCAATTATTCAAGCATATTTTGAAACATTGTCGTACTAAGTGAATGACAGTGCTGGTTGAGTGAAAGGAGGAGAGTAGGGTGCCAGCTACAGTTGATAACTTTTTGCATTATTAAAGGCAAAGACAAATTTGTGCTCGCTATGCCGATTTTTTTTATATCCTTGCAGATAAAAGCACGTAAGAGTACTTTAGTCGGGAGTATATACTACACAATACAATATCTCTAGCTGTTATAAGTTCCGGGTTATGTAAAAAAAAGAGAATTTCGAAATTAATTTTCAATGATTGCATAAAGATTTGATAACTATTTTTCTATAAAACTTAATACATTTTTTTAAATTCAAGTCTCTAGCTCGTACAGTCTCTAAGGGTGTATGGACGTACAGCCATACGGACATAGCTGGGTCAACTTGGCTGTTCAAGCTGAATGAGAATACATATGCAATCAAATATGTCTATCAAAGTACTTGCCAAACAATTGTTTTATTTGACTATTTTAAAGAGGCGCCTGAGATAAAATTTAAATGATGTTATGATAATACGTATTGTATAGTTAACTCTATGTATAAAACTGTTTGTCCTGCTTGACTGACCGACTGACTGACTGGCTGACTGACTTTGGCGAATTCCACCCGCAAGTGTGGAAAAATTTCTAATAACGTTTTCATGAATCTTTTCATCTTACCATCTGATCGGAAGAGTGTTTTACACTTTTTGGAAAATCCATTCCTCTTTCGTATATCTTCGGCACTCAAAAGATTTTTTTGCCGGTATCTAAGAAGCACAGGAAAATTAGTTAATGCAGTGTATGGTTAAGATATCTTGAAAAACAAAAAGTTTTTCATACAACTTACTTTTGGATCGATCCTATGGGAGCTATAGGGTTTAGTAAAACAGACAGACGGATTCTGATACAGATACTGATCAAGAATATATATACTTTATGTGGTCGAAGATGCCTCCTTCTATGCATTACACATTTGAAGACTAAATGATAATACCCTCTGCAAGGGTATAAAAATCACAAGTATATTTTAAGAGCCATATACTATAATATTCCTGATATCTGTACGATTACGATTACGTTTTATTATTATAATTAAGGAGCATGATAAAACACACTAGCTAGATGGACATTGTCATATGAACATGCTTGTTTATATGGATAGAAAAAATACATATATACATACACTCTAAGAGCTACACATTTTCTGCTAAATTTTGTAATGCCCTTTGGTAGGGTAACTCAAGTGAGAAGCTTTCAAACAATTTCTGGAATTTTTTTAAATTTCAAAATGCGCAAACTTGAACGTATTTTTTGTTTGTGTGCGTGGCTTTGCTTTGCTTTGGCAAATGCGAGATAGGACATGCACATGAGCACATGTCCTGCTGCTGCTGGTGCTTCGGCTGTAGCCTGGGGCAACTTTGTGCACTTACCACTAATATCCAATTAGCGTGCGAGGTTCGTGTTCTGGAAAGTGTGCTTCAAATTATGTTGGCTGCGTGCTGCAATTTGTCAACCCCTATGAGAGATGTTGAGCTGAAAGCAAGCATATGCCATAAGACACATACAATACACCCACACACATGCAAACACCCCCACACAAACAAACACGTCACTGGCAGCTCGCTGATAAGGCAGCTTCCATGGCATTAGCTTTTACTGTAAATTAGTTATTGGCCTGTTAAACTAAAACGATAATCAACAACGCCCATTTCTCTACTCTTATCTAGCAACATGTGCGTGGCGTAAATCAGCGACAGCAGTGGAAGAGGCAGAGACGAAGACGGAGACGCCACACCAACAACAACAATAACAACAACAAGAATAACAACAACAAGAGTAACAACAAAGTAGTTGTCCAGCGCATTGTTCTCTGGCGGAAGCGGAAACGGCGCTCGAACTCGTAAAATGCATTTACACTTTGAACGTAACATCAATACAAAATGCGACTGTACAATACTCTCGCTTTCGTGGATGGGAAAGGTGCCAGATGATATACCCGAGGTAAGTCACTTAGTTTAATAGACCCCGCGCCTGCCGATGTCGACCCCGACCACGATCCTGCTGGTCAAAAGCTATTAGTGCCGAGGTCCTTGCTGGTGTGCGTCTGCTTGGCCAGTTAATTTGTGTCATCCTTTCCCATATATACAAATACAATAAATACTGGCAATGTCCATTAAACTGTCGAGCACTTTAAATTGCCACCAGAGCCATTAGATGAGCTCAGCTCAGCTCTTTGGCGTGGGGACAGAGAGTGAGTTGGGAGGGAATATATGAGCGTGACAATGCTTAAAATAAAGCCTAATGGCTGCGCTTAAGTGGCTAAGACCTAAGCGTTACCATTAATAACTCGAGTTTTGATAATCAAAGGGCTTAAATATTCAAATATTTCCTGGAATTTCACATTATCTGTTAAGTAGCTGAATCATTTTTGGGAGTTTGTTTTTATATTACACTAGATAAAAATAAAAAAAAAGTATATTAATATGGAATCTCTTGAAGCGAGAAGTACCATTTAAATTTGATACTTTAAAGTATATTTATTTTGTATTACATTTTTTCTTTAAACAAGAATATTTTTTTTTATTACTTCGTGAACCTATTTCTAGAAATTAGGAAAAAAAAAGTTTATTTGCTTTTGCTTCATTTTGCTAGAAATAACCAAAGGAAATTTTTCTTTGTCCTTAGCTGCAATTTTTACAGAAATTTCCTTTTGGGTGTAGACTTGGAAATGTACGACCTCCAAATGGAGGCAAACGGTAGTCAAAGTTGGTATGAAAAACATCAACAACAACGCAGCCATAAAAGTGTACGCTGCGCACTTGACGTCATGAGCCTGTGTGTGGAACAAGCGGCAGGTGGCTGGTTCAAATTCAGGAGTAATTTTTACCTTTATTTGTTATTTGTAATGAGAAGAGGCAACAATTAATGAAAAAATGGTAGGGCATAGCCTTGTGATCATTTGAGCGGCTTCTTATAAGACTCAAGTTGACGCAAATTGTTTAAACGTATTTTACCAGAACATTTAGTACAAGCTTTCCTCTAAAACGGGCTACTTTGCATATATGTAGGACAAGGTTACTTAAGCTACTCGATAGCTGAGGTTGCTTGTCAGGTTGGCCAATAAATGGACTAGAGGAAGCCAACGACAGGTGCGTCTGATGATTGCCGCTCTCGAAAGCGACGCAAATAACTGCGTGTTCAGCTGTTTCAAGACTTATCTGCAAGCAGAACTTACATGAGCTAAATATACTTATGTAAGCAGCTGTATCAAGAGACAAATGCACCGCAGTTTAATGTGTTATATGCTGCACGCTTCGGGGGGGTCGAGCAAGCCTAATAATTCGTGAAGAAACGCGGGTAGCTAGCGAGGAATACTGGCTATTATTACGGATAAGGCAAAGTCAAAAACTTCTAGATGACTTAAGGAAGAAACGAATAGTCAAATTTCAAAACATGAGCTGAAATTCACTTCGGATAATCCCGGATTATCTAGCAGCACATGGCAGACTTTGCGAGCGTTGCAAAACAACTCCAGAACACATTCTGGAGTACATGCTGAAATACAGCTATAAGCAGGCTAAGACTTTCTCACCTTGGGGGCGGACTAGAGAATGAGAGCTCTGATGCCAGGAAAAATTAATTAGCAGAGCAACATTTTACAATGAGTAGCCCTCTAGACTCAGCTGTTCGCAGTGCACTGAACTCAATTAATTAATAATGCTCCACACTTTACAGGTGCTCCTGAATATACCAAAAATTCTCAATTTTAAACTCCAGTTAACTCTTTGTTTAGGGAATTAAGCTGCTTCCGCCGCCCGAAGAAAAAATACTCACTCCAAATTTGGTTATGCTTCGATTGATATTGAATTGGGTTTCCAAATAACACGTTTGTTTTTCCGACATTTTTGCACGCATGAGCTCATTTGCGGCATTTCTCAAGTGCTTCCACACCGGAAGTGCATGGAGCACAGGCTGGACGTTAGGATCTACGCCTATTTTTAGAGCTATTTGTGGCGCTGTTCGAGCTTAAAATTGATTTTGTATGTATGTCTGTTGCTTGGGTGGGGTGTGTGTGTGTGTGTGTGTGTGTGTGTGTGTGTGTGTGTGTGTGTGTGTGTGTGTGTGTGTGCACGCGTGTGTTTGTGCGCGTGTAGCCTTGTCTGGCGGTCTTAACTTTTCCAATTATTATGAACTTTCAGTGACTGCGCCAATACAAATGCCATATAATCCTTTTTATATTGAATATAAAAATCCAATCACGTCTGCCTCTGCAACTGGGCTCCAGATCCTGGCGCCTATGCTTCCCATATCCTGTGTCTTATGGCGCCAAATTAAAGTTGAGTGTGCGCCTTAAGTGTTGCTCTTAGCCAGTGCCACATTCACATTCACATCCACATCTGCAACCGCGCGAACGCACACCCGCACACCTGCATACCCCTTTGCCCTTGCCCTGTGTCTGGAACTGTCTATCCATCTGTCTGTTTGTCATTCTGTTTGCCCATTCGTCTGGGCAAATGCTCTGTTTTCGCCCTGAGCAGAGCAGCAGCATTTGCTAGCGATTTATTTAACAGTTTTCAATTTCATTTTCAACACTCGACTGTGTGTGCGTGTGTGGGTTGTTGTGCGTGTGAATTGAAGAGCGTGTGTGAGTGTGTGTGTCTGTTTCTGTTTCGTGTGCGGTTAAGGGCACGTGTCAGTGTTTGCGCGTGCCGATTCTTGTTCTCATTCTCATTTCCATGCTCACACCTCCATTCCCATTTCCATTTCCACTAGCAATTCCATTTCCATTCCCCATTGCCAAGTGCACGATGCTTTCAATTTCTTGTTACGCCTTTACAGCAATTTACGGCCGATAAGCTTCTGTTTTTATACCCTATAGCTATTAAAATGCTTAATAAGAGGGTACGTAGCTGTAATCCCTACGACGGCATTTTGAAAAATATCATCTGCAAAGGTGAAAAATTGGTGAAACATTTTTGTGTTCTACTGTTTAGGTATTTCAATAATCTTCCAGTTCTATCATCAACATACTTTTCTACCGACCCAAGACTCCAAAGCCTTGTACTTGGTTCAAAGCTATAACCATTTGTGAATTATAAGCAACGAAAAGGCGTGAAGGTGTTAAGCCCTGCGGCCTACACTGTGTTTGCTAAAGACCATCGTTTTTGTATTTCGAGATTTTCTTTTAGCTCAAATAATGCGCAAAAGAGTTTAGTTACATTATTTCCTCCTATAGGGTGTCTTTTAGTCTTAGCTTTGAGCAATCGCATTACGTTTATTGACAGTGGTTCTTGGACCTGGTGCTAAACAGTTGCCGCTGATGCTTTCAATTCTTGAAATGCTCGCAGACCGCTGGGAATTGTGACTTTGCTTTCAGATAATTCATCTCAGCAAAGAGCTCCTGTCTTCAAATATTCCCACAGCGCAGTCATTACATCAAAGTATTTGTTCGACTTATGTTAGCTAAATATATATACACATATATATACATATATATGTACAAATTTTGATGGCTGGCACTTGGACTTGGGTCTTGGTGTCATAATGTTTTAATAGGCACTTTTCATGGCTGGCGATTTTAACTTTAACTTTGGCTGACTGATTGCTTGGCTGTCCCTATCTCCCCCCCCCCATTTCTCCCTCTCTCGCTCTCTCTCTCTCTGTGTGTGTTTGCCTTGTGTCATCAAAGCCCAAGTGTCAGAGGCGATCATAAAACGCCGCTCCTAAAAGCGCTTGTCTGTCGCCATGGCAATCAAATTGCTGGCACAATAGACACCGCTTGACTGTAGAAACTGCCAGTGTCAGCCTCAAGTCAAGTGCACAGTGTACACTGCACTCGCATGAGCCATGTGCCACCACCCATCCCCTCTGGCCGCCTGCCTCCCAGGCAGCGCAGCAGTGCTGGTTTAGGGGTTGCAGGCGTCTTCAACTGTCGCGGCATTTCGCATACATAAATTGACACAACCTTTCTGACATGTACCAAAATGAAATCGTAAAACGAAATTCGATTCCATTGCATACAAACACATGTACACACGTACATATGTGTACATAGATGTGTATGTATTTGTATCAAAATCAAAATCGAGCAAATGTGGCATTGTATAATGCCATTGTCATTGCCTGCATGGTCATTATGCAAATGCCTGAACGCGCCCAAAAACTGAATTTCAATGTTAATGTCATTTATACCCTGTACTAGACTTGAAAGAGCTATACCGGTTCCTTTCTCCTGTTTTTTCCAGTTTCTAGCAATTTCAGTTTTTAGACACTGAAAATAATAATGTATGATGGTTATGGGCAAATCAATGTAAGAGGCAGAAAGGAAAATCTTTAACTCCGCTAAAAGTGAATATAATCCTCATCAGGCAAACGAGTTGAGTCGATCTAGCCATGGACCTCAGTCTGTCCTTCTGTGATATCAAGTTGATCGCGCAAATTGAAAGATATATCATCATATATCTTTTTTATTGTGTTGCATAATATCGATAAATAGTTATTTTGTGGCATGGTTTTTTAAATCATAACTCAGAGATTATAAGAGCTAGATAAACCAAACTTGGTGTATAGATTCTGATCTGGTATATCCCAATTAGTGATTCTTAAAGTGTTAGATACTTTTCCAAAAATTCCTGAAAATTCAAGGAACTCTTAACCCACGCGCCATATTTGGGCAGTGAAAATGTCATAAGGATCGGAAGGCTAGCGAAGGACAAATATATTCAACAAAATTCGTATTTTCTGATACGAATAAAACAGGGTGTCTTTCAGTTATCAATTTCTATCGCCTGCCAGCATTTTAAATTCATAAATTCATAATTTAAAGGCATAAGCGAATTGTGAGGGGCTTCTTTTATTTTGTGGATTTGAGTGCTCGCAAATGGTTTCCTAAGCGCCAACCCAGCATTATATTTTGCATATTTATGACGCGCTCGAAAGTATGCTACGATTTGGGCTTATACTTTGATGCCACTGGATTTCAGTTACATATTTGGCACTAA